TGTTTTTTTGTAACGACGACGAAAATCAAGGTTTTACTAGCTGGGCAGTGGTGGCCCATGCCTTCAATCCCAGCACTCAGGAGGTTTCTATGAGTTCAAGGCCAGCCTGGTCTACAGAGCTAGTTCCAGGAGAATCAAGGCTGTTACATGGTGAAACTCTGTCTGGAAAAAAAACAAACAAAAACAAAGCAAAAAAACAAAACAAGGTTTTACTATGTATCCCTGCCAGATCTAAATTCACTATGTAGACCAGGCTAGCCTCAAACCCTCAAAGAGATTCACCTTATGAAACTTCCTCCCCTGCCACAGTGCTAGAATTAAAGGTATGTGCCATCACATCTTTTTGTTTTGTTTTTGTTTGTTTGTTTGTTTGTTTTGGTTTATCGAGACAGGGTTTCTCTGTGTAGCTTTGGAGCCTATCCTGGCACTCACTCTAGAGACCAGGCTGGCCTCACCTCACAGCAATCCGCCTGCCTCTGCCTCTGCCTCCCGAGGGCTGGGATTAAAGGCGTGTGCCACCAACACCCGGCTTGTTTTGTTTTTTGAGACAGGGTTTCTGTATGTGTAACATAGCAGAAAAGGACCCTGAACTTCTGATCCTCCTGCCTCTGTTGGACCCAAAAGTGAAGTCCAACTCCTGGAGACGCACCCCACAGAGTCACTCACAGGGCACAAGTTCGATGCAAAACCAAAAGGATTTTATTCCAATGCATTGAGGTTGTTCTCTAGGAAGAGAACGGCCCCGAGTTTCCAAAGCAGGCAGTTTTTATGTCTTTTTGGTCACTAGGCAGGAGTGTGACAACATATTGATTGGCTATAACATACATGAGTCATTTACTGATTGGTTGGGAACTGAACTTAAAATTTTGCCCACGAGGGGTTTGGGATGTTATTTTGGTTTTTACTCCTGCAAGGCCATGGGACAGCTAGTGGTTTTTCTGGGAACAGAGTGACTTATATTTATTTTCAAAACTTGGGTGCTCGGGAGCAGGGTAACCCATACCAATTTTTAGAAACCAGACAGTTGTTGAAGATAATAGAAACTAGTGATAACAATTTCCAGAGACAGGTCATCATGACCGACCATTTCATGTGTTCTTTGTCCCAGAGCTGTGTGTGCCCAGAGTAATTTTTAAATACATGCTGGTGGGTATCAGGCTAGGTTTGAGCTGGGGTCTTTCTTCTCCATCTTCTGAATGCTGGGATTACAGGATTGTACCACCACAAATGATTTATATATCACAGATGGTTTATACAGTTTACAGAACCCAAGACTTGGTGCATGCTAGGCAAGCATTCTGCCAACTGAGCTACAACCCTAGCACTTCCTCCTTTCCTTAATAAAATTAATAATTTTGCCCTTTGCTGCAAAAGCTATAATATTTCCCTGCCCAGTCAGAAATGTGATTAAGCACAATAAACCAATTCTATTTATATGTGTGTACATGTACACATATGCCTATGGGAGTTAATGTGAACCATGTTCTTGCAGGAGCTCAAGGACACCAATAAAGGGCACCAGATCACCTAAAACTGGAGTTACACGCTGTTGTGAACCACCATGTTGGTGCTGGAAATAAGAACAGCAAGGACAGTAAGCACTCTTAAGATTTGATCAATCTCTCCAGCCACCCCACACACACTCAATAATTAAAAATAATATTTAAATGATTTGCCAGGCACGGTGACATCTATCTGTAAACCTAGCACTTGGGAGATTAGCATAAGAGAATCAGGAGTTCAAGGCCAGCTTCAGTGTAGCAAGATGAATAAAAACCCAGAGACAGATATTGGGATTCAAGCTGAAGATTAGAAAAGCAAAGTGGCCAGCCACTAGAGAGTTCTTACTAAAGCTAAGACCTCAGAGTGATTGTAGACTGCTATGATCTCCACCAAGACCCTCAAACTGCTCAAAGAGACTGCACTGAGCTCCTGCTTTATATTCTCTCTAGTTCTAGGATTAAAGGTGTGATCTGTTTCTCTTTGAGACTGATTCACTCTCGTGTAGCCCAGAGTGGCCTTGAACTCATAGAGATCCATCTGCCTCTGCCTCTGCCTCTGCCTCTGCCTCTGCCTGTCTCCCAAGTGCTTCTATTAAAGATGTGGCTACCACTGCCTGTCTTCTATGGCTAACTAGTAGCTTAGGTGTGTGGCTAACTAGTTGGCTTAGCCCTTTACTAGGTGTGTTAACCAGTGGCTTAACTCTGCATTCTGATCTTCAGTGAATCTTTATTAGATCATAAACAAAATATCACCACTCCTCAGCTTTATAGTGAGTTCTAGGCCAGACTAGGCTACAACAGATCCTGTTTCAAGAAGCCCTCCTCAATAAAATACTTTCATTTAAAACAGTTGAAGAACACTGATTGCTCTTCCAGAGGACGGAGATTTGATTTCCAGCATCCACACGGTGGCTTCAACTGTCTGTTAGCTCCAATTCCAGGAGATCAAATGCCCTCCTCTGGCCTCCATAGGTACCAGGCACACACATGGTACATAGGTATACATGCAGGCAAAACACCAATGTACATTTTTTTTTTTTTACTTAAAAGTTGCTTAAATTAAAAAGCCATCATGCCAGGTGGTGGTGGTACACGCATTTAATCCCAACACTCCAGAGACAGAGGCAGTCAGATCTTTGTGAGTTTGAGTCCAGCCTGGTCTACAGAGTGAGATCCAGGACAGGCTCCAAAGCTACAGAGAAACCTTGTCTCAAAAAAGCAAAAGCCAACATAAAGAGCACATGATTTTTAGATATAGCTCTGTTAGCTAAACATGAGTTAATACCAGTTATTAATTTCATTTTTTGTGTATCTGTCTTCTCTAACATGACAATTCTCTGTAAAATTCTTCAGTATTTCACATTCTCAAATTCCTGAATTTTTGAAGTCCAAAGCTCAGATTGCCACACTGATGGCCCAGAAAATCCCTTTTAATACTGGAAATGAATCTGCTGTCTATAATGTTATCTCTTTTAGTATGAAAGAGTGGCCCAAAAGAGATTGGAAAACATCTACAGCAGAATATCTGGTTTGACAAGAAGTTGGCTTTAACTCACAGTAATCAAAGTTTGGTGTTTGCAAAGTTGCTAGGTGTGGGTGGCAGCCACCAGAGTTAAGAAGATGCATTCCTATCCCCTAGACAAGAGGGAAAATTCTAAGCAAATATATGTTAAAATTACCTGCCTCTAAACTTTAACACTCTCATCATTTTTCTTTGAAAAAATCATTCATTTCCTTGTCACAGATTTCCTTTCTAAGAGTCATTCATAATCCTTTCATAAGCACTTTTTATTACAAAATAACATACATGTCAATTACCCAATAATCTCCCTAACCTCTCATTTTCTCTGACTGCCAATCATATACAGAACCTCTTCACTTTCATTTTCAGTGCATCCTCCAAACCAGAGTTTTACAAGCCAGCACCCAGGTTTCTTTAGTCATGTTGTAGTAAATGTTTTAAAGAGGCTCTTTACACACACACACAGAGCATAATATGAGCTTAGAATATTAACACTATAAAATTTACATCCTTTCAATGCTGTAAATACATTAAAGAATTTTTGTGATTGTTAATTGTTTAACTAGCCACTTTACAAAGAAAGCCTTACTGAAAAACACATAAGCCAGATATTAGAAAAAAAATCTCATAAATTTTCCTGGCTACCATGAATGAGTATCACTTTGTTTTCCTTAAACAGATTTTAAAAAGAGAAGTAGGGCCAGGTATGGTGTCCACATCTTTAGTCCTAGCATTGGAGGGTGTGTGTGGGGGGGGGAGGCAGGTGGATCTGTGAGCTTGGGGCCAGTCTAGTAAGTTCCAGGACAGGCAGAGATACATAATGGGACACACACACACACACAGTTGGGGGGGGGGGGGGTCAGCTGTCTTGTTACATCCCTCTAGTTTCTCTGGCTATATTTCTTTGTATATAGTAAGCAAAGCTAAACGAAGCTCCAAATAGGATATATCCTGCCTGACTCCAATTCTTTGTGTTGGTAACCAAATTTATGGACTATTAGTGAAAATTTCAGTAATTGGGAATATGTATAAGTTTGAGCAACAACTTAAGGTCATTAGTTAAAATACTGTAAAACACAATTTTATTTTCAAAACCACTGTTAACTGGCTTCCATATAAAAACTTAAAATCGATTCTTTTAGGGCTAGGGGTATAGCTTATTGGTAACCACTTGCCTAGTAAACTTGAGGCCCTCGGTTCAGTCCCCAGTACTTGTGGGAGTGGGGGGGGGGAGTCCTATTCATTTATATCATAGAAAGTTCTCCAAGGAGACGTGCTATGTATGTACTTGAATGTAGCAGAAGGTTTTTCTCTCAATAGTAACTCAGACTTTACAAGTAAATTGACTTTCCTTCAGTTTGTCTAAACGTATACACCTCAACACGATTTTAAGGGGTTCATGGGCGAATTAAAAGTTTAAGCTGGGTGAGAGCCTTCATAAGGTGCTTAAAACTGTAATTCTCGCCATAAGATGACGTGCAAAAACTATCTCTGATCATTTGAAAAGGAGTGGCCAAAGTTATCAGGAAAACTGCGCAACAGCTTGGGATCAAGGGCTGGAAGTCGCCCTTTGCCAGGGCCTCTGGGACCCGGGACCAGAGAGCGCCTCCTGTGGTGGGCAACCGGACGCCAGCAGTAGGCACCGGCCATTTCTTTTACCACCTCCCCGTCTCCTCCACCTTTCCCTCCCTCAAGGCCAAGGACAGCGGCGTCCTCCTCCCCCTTCTCCTCCTCTTTGGCGCCTCCAGCCAGGAGGCGGGGGTGACCCATAGCAGCTGACCCGGCTCGGGCACTGCCTCTTCCACAGCCCTCAGGACACACCATGGGCCCAGAGGCTGGTTTGCGGCACATTGGCGACGACGCAGGCGGAGGCCGCGGCGACTCCCAGCTACCTCCCTGACCCACCGCGACAACTTCCCCGAAGCCATCGCCACCACCTGCAGGGGACTCTGACCGCGGCAAAGCCATCCGTCTCCGCTACGGACTTGACAGCTACGTAAACAACTATGGAGGGAGACAGGCGGCTGACCCAGGCGCCGGGAGGAGGATGGGCCATCGACGTCACGCCCAGAGCCCCCATCCGGGAACCAAGGCGGAGGCTCGCCCCTCAAAATGGCGACAGCAGTGACGCGCCTGCCTACGGAACTCACCCGTCGCGCCACGGACGACGGGAAGTGAGGTTTTCAGAAGAGCCGCCAGAAGTGTACGGCGACTTCGAGCCCCCGGTGACCAAAGAAAGGTCCCCGGGGGGAAGACGTACCCCGCTAGAAAAGTTCCGGCCGGATTCTGCGAAAGAGGAAGTGAGAGAAAGCGCTTACAACCTTCGTTCTCGACCACGGAGGCGGCGGGGACCCCAGGAAGCCGAGGAGATGAAGACGCGAAGGTCCACCCGGTTGGAGCAGACCTCACAGCAGCCTCAGCCGCAGCTGTCTCCGGCTACGAGCAGGCGAGGATTACGGGACTCTCAATCCTCAGGTGAGGACGGCGGAGGTAACAGTCTCAGCCGCCGGCGCCCAGCGCCCCTGTAGACTCCGGCCCCGCTTCCGCGGCCCTGTGGGCGCGCGCTCCCGTCCTGCGTCCACCCGGACCCTAAGGAGGAAAGGACGCACCGGCCCGCGGAGAGGTGGAGGTGCCAAGGGACCCGAGCAGATGCGGGGAGCTCTGCCCATCTCTGAGCATCAGTTTAAGGCAGTCTAGGTCGCCTAGTCTTTCTGCAGGGTTTTGCTAGCGTCGGCGATTAAGCCATTGTCGGGACTCCAAAATTACTCTAGGCTCGGTTTCATTTCCGTCCCCTTTGCCAAGGCTTCTACCGAAGCCACTTCCACTTCCATTTCCTTTTTTTTTTTTTTTCTTTCTTTCTTAAATCTCGGGGACATCAAGTCCCCAATTGAGAATCAGGGTTTTAAGTTAATTTTCCAGGCGATTTCTCTTCCCACCAAAACTGGGGGAAAGAGATGCTTCCTAGGCGGATGCTACCAAGGATAGCCTACTTTAATGAACTGGCTTGTGCCCTTACTCCAGATGCATAAAGTGTGGTGGTCTCTGCCCAACTTTTCCCCTGGTTGAAGGCAGTCTCTGTAACCTCAAACACCTATACAAGTCAAGGCTGACAAAGTACCGAAATAAAGCACTGGTCTGTTCATTAGGAAAGCTTCTTCTAAATGAACCCCCAACTGCCGACAGTGTGTGTACTATAGTTTTAGTTAAGTGACAAGTGAATCAAATTTCTTTAAAGACATCCTCCCACACCCTGATCTCAGATATAACTGAGCCACAGGTGGTTTCCAGTAAGCCTCATTGTAAATCACCTAACTGTGAGGTAAAATTTGGAGGGTTTGAGTCACAATGGTAGACACTGATACATCTAAAAAAGGAGTGAATGTTTAGCTTGGAGCACAATAAACATCTTGCAGGTTTACCTGCTTGCCCCTAAAATCCTGACACACTTGAAGACCTGTTGATTTTGGAAATTATGCTAAGGATGTGCACATTCTTTTGAATGCAACAAAACTGTTTGTTCTTTATATATGTTAGTAGTATTTCTTGTAAGATGTTAAACTTAATGAAAAACAGGAGCCTGTCATGTATGCCTGGTAGCAATTTAGATACTTTGTTTAATTCTGTCTCAGAATCTTGAGACAGTGCTTTGCACACAGGAGGCAATATGAGGTGTTACTTTTTATTGACTCCCACAGAGCCTCCTGCACTCAAATAAATTTTACCTTTTGGAACATTTTTTTAAAGGATTTAAACATATCTTCTACCTACTTAATCCACATCTTTTTTTAACCTTCTAAAGTAACATTTTTTGTTGTAAAACAACAATCAATAGTTTATATTTCGTTATAGTTATATGCATGTCTGTGCAGTTGCATGTATCTGTGTGAATATATGCACATGTGTGAACAGTTACTCTTGGAAGCCAGAAGATGACATTAGGTCCCCTGGAGTTGAAGTTACAGGCTACTGTGAGCCACTTGGACTCGTGTGCTGATATCCTCCAGTGTTCTGAAAGAGCAGCAAATGCTCTTAACCACTGAACCCTCTCTCCAGACCTCATTATACTGTGTCTCAAGAATTCTGACTAATTTAATTCCCAAGTTTTGAGCCTAGAGAAACTGAATACTTGCATCTTACTTTTGAATGTGCATACTGCGTGCCTTAATTTCTCCCAGGTCATCTAACTTAAGTTTTATCTCTCCTCACTTCTCTAGAGGATGAACCTTCTTCTTCCCAAACTGTTACAAGCCAAACAGCCTCAAAGAGAACTGTCAGAACACCAGATGCTTCAAGTAAGAATACTTTATTTTTTGTTTTTCTCTGTACCTGCCAAGGGCTCATCACTTCAGAGTATTGTGAGTCTTCTTTATCAGTTCACTAAATTAAGCCATGTGGACATCCAAGGACATGCAAGGGTGAACCATCCAGTGAGTTCACCTATCAGCTACTTTGTATTTGTTAATCTTCATAACCTTGCAGGGAAGTACTCTGTCCCCCTTAATAGATGAGAAAACTGGAGCTCAGAGTACCTAAGATTCTTCTCTAAGATCATATGCTACATGACTAAACTAAAATTTAGACTCACGTTTGACTATCTTAAACCTTTTCCTTTTCCCCAAACCTTCACTTTCACTCTCAGGTAATCACTCATAAAGTGTCAAATGGTTATGTCACAGTGTCTTCTGCTTAGCTGTTTCTGCATGCTAAAACCCTGGCACAGTGCTGTTTCAATTCTGTCATCTTATTACTATGTTTCATTAAACCCAAGGTATCAGTTGTAAGGTATGGCATCATTTTTTCATGTGCCACCTAGAAGAAAAAAAATACTGCCTATTTCGGTAATTTGTAGTAATATACCATAATTATATAATAGATGATTTCAGAGATGTTTAAAATATAATAAAGAAAATATGTCCTAGAATCACTATAAAAGGGAAATGGTTATATTTAATAGTTCACTGATTTTTTTTTTTTCCCCTGAGACAGGGATTCTCTGTGTAGCTTTGGAGCCTATCCTGGCACTTGCTCTGGAGACCAGGCTGGCCTCGAACTCAGAGATCCGCCTGTCTCTGCCACTGATTTTTTTTTTTTTAACTAATACATTATACATCTTTGTTGTTGTTGTTGTTGTTGTTGTTGTTGTTGTTGTTTTGAGACAGGGTTTCACTGTGGCGTTGGAGGCTGTTCTGGAACTAGCTCTTGTAGACCAGGCTGGTCTCGAACTCACAGAGGTCCTCTGCCTCTGCCTCCCGAGTGCTGGAATTAAAGGCATGCTCCACCACCTCCCAGCCGTGTTTTTCATTTTTAATTCTCATGTGTCTATGATGTGTGTAGGTGCCACTGTACACTTATGGAAGTCAGAGGAAAATCTTGTGAAGTAGATTCTCTTCTATCTTTACGTGACTATGGGTATTGAACTCAGATTGTCAGATTTGGCAGCAAGTGCCTTTACCCATGGAGCCATCCCACTGGCCTAAGAAAATATATCTGTATACATAATTTTCTTGACTAAAAACTAGTATGTTTTAAATGGCTTTATTATAAACCCTATACCTTTAAACTCGATCGTTTGAAATGAAACATGGCTAGTATTAATATTTCAAATTAGTCTTTCCATTTCCTGGATATATATATGATTAAATAGTTAAAGAGTATGTTAACTCTAAAACTATATCACAAGTATATATCACAAAGTGTGATATAGCACTTGAAAGGCCAAGGTAGGAGAATTCCTTCAGTATAGGGCCTACCTATGCTATGAAGTGAAACCTATCTCAAAAATAAGCAAAGACCAATTTCACACATAGAATAAGACAGTCAAGTTGATGATATAGTGCATATTTTGGTCCCCACTCCACCCTGCTTTTACATACCGAGGATTGAACCCAGGGTCTAACACTGGCTGGAGAAACTATGTCTCTGGTCCCTGAATTTGGTTACTAATAGTCTTTGGGTTTTGGGGCCAGGGCCTCATGTAGTCTAAGCTGGTACCCAAACCCACTGGGTGGCAAAGGGTAACCTAGCATCAAACCCCTGATCCTCCTACCTCTACCTCCCATATGGTAGAATCATAGGCATACACATATACCATCATGCCTTGCTTGAATAGTTTAGAAGGATTTTATTTACTAGTCCTCTTCTTTTGAACAATATGGTCTACTGAGAAAAATTTCTGGTTTTTTCAAGACTACACATTCTGTAGAGCAGGTAAGTTTATTCTAGTTTACTGTTAGTAGTTCACAAGAGACCATCCCCTAGAGAAATTTGCCTTTAGTTCTCTATCATAATCAGAGTTTGGGAAACTTTCTTGACCAAATGAAGATGATTGAATACTAAGTCTTATGTTTCACATGTTTTTGTCTCTTCCTGTACCAGTGATGAGTGAAGACCCTATAAGCAATTTATGCAGACCCCCACTAAGAAGCCCAAGATCTGGTAAGAGATTGCTCTGTTGATTTAACTCTTTCTTATAAGTACAGTGTTACTTCTAGAGGAGACCTGTATTCATATGGAGCAAAACTTAGCCCAGATACATGGTGCACACTTTAATCCCAGAACTTTGGAGGCAGAGGCAAGGGGACCAGGAGACCAGGGTTATCTTGGCTACAGAGAGTTTAAGAACAGCCTGAGCTACATGAGACTAATGAAGTCTTTCTGCATCCATTGTCTTCTGTCCACCTTGCCTTAACATCAGAAGTAACCAGAGTCAGCTTATGTTTCCAGAGATACACCTGCATCTTTTTGACAGTGCTGAGACTTGAGCCCACAGCCTTGCACATACTACGCAAGCTTTCTACTGTCAGTCTCCCTTTTTAAACATAAAGCTTGCATCAGTGAATATTCTTCGTTTCTTGTTTGTTTCCACTTCATTTCACATGTATCAGGAGATCTTTCCCTGTTGGTGTATATAAAAGGCTTCTGCGTTGTTTTGGAAAGATTATTCCTTACATGGTGCTATGATTCTTTCATGCTTGATGCTTTCAAATTAAGGCTGGGGACTTCTTAGTCTTCTCAGTATATTACTAATAAAAGATTCAAGACAAAGGCTTTGTGGCATGGAGCTATAAACTGTTGCTGCCTCAACTAATTTCCTTTTGACTAAAACTTTGGAAGTCCTTAAATTGGTTTGAAGACTATGAAAGAAAACTAGTAAGGTTATTCCATACAATCTTCTTGAACTTTGTTTTCTGCTTATTGGCCCTTTATATTAGGTCTCTGTTGCATCTCAACCACTCCCTTTCAGATGATAAAAATCTCCTTAGTGTCTGAGCGATTGGTTAAAGGACTGTATGCTGCTTTTCCTTTTCAGTTCTAATCATTTTCTTGCTGTCTCTCTTACAGATTCAACGTACAAAACAAATGGAAATTCTAAAATGAGTGAAATAGGTTTGTTTTTCTCTTAATTCAATGTTCTTATTGAAGATTCTTAGCAAAATATAAAAGTATGTGTTTTGTGGTTGGCTTGAGACTATGACTTTGTTCATTATCTCAGCTTATAGGGTGGTGTCCCTGGAACTCCTTAGGTTTTATTCTGTCTAAAATTGTCTTATTTATTGCTTGAATTCATGTGAAAACCTGTAGTAATAAAGTACTTTTTATGTGGTGCTCAGGGTTGAACCATGGTCTCACACATGCTTGTCAAGCGTTCTACCATTGGGCCTCATCCTCTCAAACCTCCTTGTTGTCCTGTTCTGGTTTTGTTGTATCCTTTTGTTTTTGATTTGTTTTGTGAAACAGGTTTCATGTATTGTGACTGGTCTCAGCTGTGTAGCTGAGAATGACCTGGAACTCCTGATCCTCCTCCCAAGTGCGAGGATTACAGATGTGTGCCACCAAATCTAACAAAGGAAGGTACTTTTTATTAGCCTTTGTTTAATTTATACGATGAGGAGAAAGGAAATGTCAACTAGGGTGTATTTTTCCCTGGATTCAGAAACTCAGTTTTGTTTTTGTTTCATAAAAGCCATGCCCTTTACCTTTTTGTTGTTGTTTCACTAATTTAAATTCTTTTTAATGTTTGCCTTGACATGGAACATGAGATTTCAACATCTGATTTTAGGGATCTAGGGACATGGTTCAGGAGTTAGGATGATTGCTTTGCATATATAAAATGTGGAGTTCAAACTCTCAACACCTCCATAAAAAACAGGCATGGCTTCGGTGCCTGTAACACTAACCTGCTGAGTATTAGAGACAGTTGGATCCTAGTTGCTCCATGGCTAGTTGTCCTAACTGAAATGTCAAATTCAGGTTCAGGAAAAGACCCTGTCTGATGGGAATAAGGCAGAGGACAATAAAGGAAGACAGTATTGTTTTCCTCCCATTTTCACATGCTCGTGTGTAGGTACACACCTGTACACACATACACAAATAAGGAAGATGGGCCTGTTGGCTCATGCCTTAGTCCCAGTACTTCGAAAGGGAAGGCAAGAGGACCAGTAGTTCAAAGCCATCTTAGCTTTGTGTGAAGCTACATTGGATGTGGTTGGAATTGATTTAAAATTTTAAGACATTTTGAAAATTTTTTCTTTATAAATACAAATTCCTCTATTAAACATATTTTTACCTAGGCCTGGGCTAAGTTTTATAAAGACTTTAGGATCTATAGTTTCTGGATACCAAGATGAACTGTGCAATATATTCCTTATCATATGTGCTTTTGCTTACAATAGTTTCATTTTTGATTTTTTTGTTTTATTTTGTAGAGTCAGAGACTTATTTAGCCCAGGCTAGCCTCAAACTTACTATGTAGCTGAGAATGATTTTGAACTCATGATCTTCCTAACTTTATCTTCCAAGTCTAGGATTACAGACTTTTGCCACCATGCCCAGCTTCCACAAGAGTTTCTTTTTTTTTTTTTTAAGATTTTATTTATTATGTGTACAATGTTCTGTCTGCATGTATGCCTGAAGGCCAGAAGAGCGCACCAGATCTCATTACTCATGGTTGTGAGCTACTATGTGGTTACTGGGAATTGAACTCAGGATCTCTGGAAGAGCAGTCAGTGCTCTTAACTTCTGAGCCATCTCTTCAGCCCCAAGAGTTTCTTAAATTTTCTATTTAACTGGGCATGATTTATTTAACATGGGCATCTATTTAACATGGGCACATGACTGTAATCCTAGCACCTGGGGGAGGTTGTAAAATAGGATTACCACAAATTCATGGCTAATCTGGGCTACATTAGAGTTCTAGGCCAGCATGGACTACACAGTAAGACTGTCTTAAAAAAGAAAAAAAAAATAAATAAAGGAAGCTGAATAAGAGGAAAATGAAATCAAAGCAAGAAGTCATAGATGCTACTGATTCATCATCAGTATGTATTAATTAGTCTATGTAGTTTTTTAAGATTTGTTTATTTAATTTTATAATGTTTCCCAGCATGTATGTGTGTGTGCCTGGTGCCCATGGCGGTCAGAAGAAGTCATCAGATCTCCTGGAACTAGAGTGGCATGTGGTTGTGAGTCACTGTGTGGGGGCTAGGAATTGAACCCAGGTCCTCTAGAAGAATAGCCTGTGCTCTAACCTCTGAGCAATCTCTGTAACCCAGGCTGTATATCCTTGTAGCTTCCATTAAAAGATGAAAACAAGCCAGACACACACATATAGTCTTAACTCTTTAGAGGCTTGGTGGAAGAGGATCAGAATCCTGTCTCAAAAAAAAAAAAAAAGAAGAAGAAGAAAGGAGATGAAATGTCTAAAACCTTATATGAACCCTTAATTAGTCTCAGACTGTTTTTCTTATGTTGCTATGTATGAACAAACTTCTTTTTAACCACTTCCTATGTCAATGACTGACCTAAATGCTAGGACCATAAAGAGCTGTGAGGTGGGGTTTTTTGGGTGTGTGTGTGTTTTTTTTTTTTTTTGGTCTGGATCTCACAAGTATGTTAGGTAATGAAAAAGAAAAATTTTCTTTTCCTTTTTATTAAAAATCAGGAGGTTGGGCAGGGTTGTGAGTATGAGGCCGGCCTGGGCTACTAACTCAAATGAAAAATAGTCGTAACTTCATAAGTTATTATAACAGTTTGCGTAGAATATGGAGGAAAAGTGCCCTACATAGAGAGGTTCAGCCTTTGAAGTCGGAAAGGCATTTGATTGAAATTTGAAATACAAATAGCAGGCAAAGGCAGGGAAGAGACTTGCAAATACTGCAGTCTGTCTTGGGACAAGCTTCATTATTTTGCCTTTAGAGACCATGTGTTGCAGGAGCTGCAATTCCTCCATATTGGTGACAGCACTACATTAGAGATCTTTTTTTTTTTTTTTTTTTTTTTTTTTTTGTTTTTTTTTTTTGTTTTTCGAGACCAGGTTTCTCTGTGGCTTTGGAGGCTGTCCTGGAACTCGCTCTTGTAGACCAGGCTGGTCTCGAACTCACAGAGATCCACCTGCTTCTGCCTCCCGAGTGCTGGGATTAAAAGTGTGCATCACCAACGCCCGGCTTAGAGATCTTTTTTATTGGAGGCCTTGAATAATGTGTGGAATGATGTTCTCAGTCGCAACATAAGGATTGCTCTCTCTTGCTCTCTCTCTCCTCTCTCTCTCTCTCTCTCTGTCTGTGTGTGTGTGTGTGTGTGTGTGTGTGTGTGTGTGTGTGTGTGTGTGTGTGTGTGTGTGTGTGAATGAGTGAGGGGGGAGAGGGTATAGAGGGACAACTTAAGTCATTTTTTTCATTTTTTTTTTCTCCTTCCACTATATAGATTACAGGAAAGGAATTCAGGTCCTGGTGCTTGGTGGCAACTGAGCCATCTTGCCAGCCCAATACTGGCTTTGTTCTTTTTTTCTTTTTTTGTTTTGTTTTTGGTTTTCTGAGACAGGGTTTCTCTCTTTAGAACACGCTGGCCTTGAACTCCGATACCTGCCTGCTTCTGCCTCCCAAGTGCTTGGACTAAAGGTATGCACAACCATTGCCCAGCCTCCAATACTGGCTTTTTTCAAGTGGTGAGATCAAAATAACCTTGTATAGCCAATTATCAGTTGGTGTCTTGAATGCTGTTGATAAATATTTAAGGATGTTAATAATGTTAATAAAATTCTAAAGAAAAGCTCTTCAGACAGTAGGGAAACAATTTTCAACCTTTTTTTTTTTAGAAAAAAAAAAAGCTGGGGTTGGCAGCCCCCACCTGTAATGAAGGGAGAAAGAGACAAGAGAATTATGAGTTTAAAGCCCATCTGGGTTATATAGCCAGACCCTGTCATGAAAAATATTCAGTGTACCATTTTTTATTATAGTTTAAAAAATAAGTTTAGTTTTTCATTTTGTGACACAGCCTTTATCACCCACATTGTCTTAGAACTTGTAATACTCCTGCTTCTGCCTCCAAATCCTAGGATTACAGGCATGCATCACCATACCTAGTTTCCATTCAGTCTTTTGTAAAAGTTTTTGTATAGTAAATAGTTTATAAAGAATAAGCCAGGCATAGAGGCTCATGTGTGCTATCTGAATAATTATGTAAATTAAAATGTTGTACAAAGAGTAAAATACTGTAATAGTCTAGTAATTTGAAAATAAAAATTGAAAGCTGAGCATGCTAGTACATGCCTTTAATCCTAGCACTCAGGAGTCAGAAGCAGGAAGATCTTTGTGAGTTGACTCAAAGAGAAAAAGAAAGGAAAAATCTAAGGGGGTAGTAAGAAGGTTCAGAGGTTACTGGCACTTGCTGCCATACTAACCACCACGTGATGAGTTCTTCTGCACCTTGTCCTCTGATCACAGCACAAACACACTGAACAAATAAAATGGAATTTTAAATTTTAAAAAATTTAAAGGATAAAATTTAAAGAATAAAAGACTTCCTATAATTCAGAATGGAAGTAAAATTTCAATGGTTTTCCCAACCTCTGTGTGTGTGTGTGTGTGTGTGTGTGTGTGTGAGAGAGAGAGAGAGAGAGAGAGAGAGAGAGAGAGAGAGAGAGAGGAGAGAGAGATTATTTTGAGCTAGTCTTACTATGTAGCCTAGGCTGGCTCATCCTCTTTTGCCTTAGCCACTCCTGAATGCTGGAATCACAGTTGTGCAGCACCACACCCAGCAACTTTGCATTTTACTTCTTTAAACGAGAAAACGAAGGAACAGTAATGGGGCACCTGGTGCACAGCATGAGCTGTGCCAGCTTTAGCTCTCTGAGAGAAGTGTGATGTTATTGGCAAGTTTCTCAGAGTGCTTGGGTGTCTGTTTTCTAGCAATACATTTTAGACACTGATTTATACTTGCCACTGTTTTCAGTAGAACTCAAACTTCGACTAATATAATTAACCTAATTAAATTTATGTGAAAAAAATTCAAATTCATAATATAATGTTTAGAATCACTTTCTGAAATCATACTTCCACATGTCAGCCTATAATGAGTAGTATGCAAACCAACTCTCCAAAACAAAGTTTATTGGAGAATTGCAACATATATCATGGCAGACCCATATATCCAAGGTAAAAAGCAAAAAGCAAGTTAAAAAAAGACAAGTTTGCCTAAGCTGTTTTGAAGTAAACCACACTGGCTACAGGAAGTATTGCAGGAGTCCGTGGTTACTTTACAGAAAGTATCTAGTTGGGGACTTGAGACAGGGTGCAGGTCTGCATCATCTAAGTGCTCTGCCTAGTGTGAACTGGACCTTTGCTTCAATCCCCAGCACCACAAAAAAGGAGGAAGAGTTACTAATCTGAAAGTTTATGTGTTCAGACTCATTGTTATTTATCATAACCACACATTTGAGGAGCCTTCTCGTGGCTTCCAGTCTACTTTGCTTAGGTTTGGCATAAATGACTCTGTTGTGATGCTGAAAGCTTTTGTGCCCTTTTAAAAAGCAGGTGGAGATAAAGGCTGAAAAGAAACATTCTCCCAGCTTTGCTAAAGTCTGAGTCATCCTAATCCTCTATAGTTTTACTCAGTATTTTCACCCAGATATGCTTATATTTGGGTGTAACTTCCTTTATTGGAAAAGACAGTCTGTCTCAAAGGAAAAGTCTTTCATTATAGGCCATGTGCAATCCTGACTTTTAAGTTTGGTTGATGTGTTTGCTTGTTTATCTTTCAATTCCCCATTTATGGATGTTTATCTTTAAATTTCCTATTTCGAACAACAGCAGGGTGATGTCTGTTCATCCTTCTCTTTGTCACACTAGTGCACCAAGGACTTGTTACTTCAACTTGTTAGGCTTTTGAAGGAAGCAGAGGAGTCTGGCAAATAGAATTAAAATATGTAAACCTGTGCGACTGTAGGAACCTAGAATATTTGTCAATGTGCAATTTAATGTTTTCTGTACATGTTACATTTAGAGTACAAACAGATCTATGACAGGTATGTTCTATATGCCTGTAATACCAGCATTCAAGAGATACATATAGTAGGACAAGAAGTTCAGAGTTACCTTCCATACATAGTAAATTTGAGGTTATCCTGGGCTATCTAAGATTCTGTCGCAATAACAACAAAAATTAAAGCCCTGGGACTGCAGAGATTGGTGCTAAAGTTGAGTGTTTGCTCTTCCAGTAGACTTGAATTCACTAGAACCCATGTCAGGCAGCTTACAATCTCAACGCTGGGGGCTCTGATGCCCTCTTCTGGCCTCTCGGGCACTTGTATACATATACATCGGTAAAAAGAAATCTTTTTAAAAGTACACGTTTTATAAAGCTAAAAACCTACCAGGCATGGTGGTATACTCCTTGAATCCTAGCACTTCAGAAACAAGAGGCAGGTGGATCATTGTGAGTTCAAGGCTAGTCTGGACTACATAGTGAGTTCTAGGCCAGTCAACACTGTACAGTAAGACTCTATCTCAAAAACATAAAATGAATGCCTTTTATTTGGGGCTGGATAGATGACTTAGTGGTTAAGAATGATTACTGCTCTTGCAGAAGACCTGAGTTCATTTTCCAGTACCCATGTCAGGTGGCTTACAAATACCAACTCCATCGTTTTTGCACACATTGACACAGATGCATATGAATTAATATTTTAATAAAAGCATTTGTTTCTAATATGAGTTTGTCAGATTTGTTTCTGAAAGAGCCAAAAGGAAATGATAGATTCTTAGTCATTTTACAGGAACAAAGGTTTTTGTATTTTGTTGATTTTCCTTAGTCATGAGTTCTTATTATTCCTGAGCTTTAGTTTCTGATGGTACATACTTTGTCTTTCTCTTCTAGAAGCTGTCAGTACCCAGCCAGTCCATTTCTCTGAAGAAGGTAATTTCTTTTTAACTATCATGTACTATACTGCTATTCTTTATATTAGTAGTTTTGATAAGTATTTAAGAGGAAGAGCAGAAAACAGTCTTTTTCTTAAAAACAAAATAAAAAACCCACCAGTGAACTATCAAGATAAACCAGGATAGGTAGTTTGGATAGAAAGGATACTATTAAGTATCTTTATCTGTTCAATTTTAATCTTTTTCTTGTTTGTTTTTGTTTTGTTTTGTTTTTTTCTAAGACAGAATTTCTCTGTGTAACAGTTCATGCTATCCTGGAACTTACTCTGTAGACCAAGCTGGCCTTGAATGAACTCACAGAGTGCTGGGATTAAAGGCATGTGCCACTCCCACCCATTAATTTAGTTCATTTTTAAGCCAATATAATGTGAAATTCGTAGTTTGGATAATGAAATGTTTGTGAGTGTAGGAACATTACCCATGGGAAAAAACCACTGACTTGCAGGCCTACACTAGTCATGTCTGAAATGACAGCCAGTTTACTATGTAGTTTCTTCCCGTAAGCTAAAGATTTCCAATTATTTCCTGATCATCTATTCATTTTGGACTCTTCATTAAAGCCTCAGTGTATAGATTTTAGACATTTGTTTAAGAAATTATGTGCTGGGCCAGGCACATAATTCCAGCACTTGGGAGGCAGAGGCAGGCAGGCAGATTTCTGTGAGTTTGAGGCCAGCCTGGTCTACAAGATCAAGTTCCAGGACAGCCTCCAAAGCCACAGAGAAACCCTGTCTTGAAAAACCAAAGAAAGAAAGGAAGGAAGGAAGGAAGGAAGGAGAAGAAAGAAAGAAAGAAAGAAAGAAAGAAAGAAAGAAAGAAAGAAAGAAAGAAAGAAAAGAAAAGAAAAGAAAAGAAAGAAAAGAAATGATGTGCTGAAAGAACACCAAATGCATGAGCTCAACTGTAGCTCATTTGGAACTTTGTTACTCTAAATGGGCAGTGCAGTAAACAGCAACAGCTGTGTACTGGAGACTCAGATGCTTTAACTTTGACCTGTGTTCAATGCGCATCTTTTCAACATTAGCATAAGTCTATACTAGTGCATTGTCTGCTTCCTTCTAGGAGAAACCGAAGATGATCTAGAGAGCTCTTACAGTGACACCACTGTCAAGGTCAGATCCAGGAACTCCGTTGAGTCTAGAGGTAATGTTGCTGTATATATACTTGTAACTCTTCTCACAGAACCATCTTTTAGTTAAAATTTAGCTTTAAATACTTTTTTAAGCCTTAGAGATTTTTTTAAAAATCATTTTTTAAAGTTCCATTTTTAGTACATTGTAATTATTCCTTACATTGTATACATGTTATTAGTAATGTGTCATGTAACATGTAGCTGAATAGAGCACTTTTAGCCTGCTTGAATATTTCTGGAAAGATGTTTTTATTCTCAAGAACTACTGCCAGTTTTTGAATTTTGAGAAATTGATCACATTGGTGTTCAACAGTTTAAGGAGTATTGCTTGGTTTTAGGAACTTCTAGTATTCTTAGATAATTACTTTGTCTTTAGGTCCAATTCTTAACCATGTTAGACATCACAGGAGCTTTTGTTGTTTAAGTATGACAGTCTGTTAATTGTTGATGTGAACTAGTTGATTGGCTAGAGAAAAGTAGTAACTTAAGATGTTAGACTAATTTGTAAACTGTGTAAATGGGTAACATTTTTAGTCCCACAGAAATATTGTTTCATGGAAATCTCTATAATTCTCATGATTTGCATCATCTTTTTTTTTTTTCATTAAAGATAAGCTCTGGATTGAGTTTAGTGGCACACACTTTTAATCCTAGCACTCACTTGAGGCAGAGGCAAAATAGATCTCTGAATTCTAGGCCAGCCTGGTCTAGGTAGCAAGTTCCAGGCCAGTCAGGAATTCTATGGGGTCTCTATTGTAAGACCCTATCTCAAAAATTAACATGAGATAAGCTCAGGGGACTGAGGACAAACCTTGGTGGTAGAGGGCTTGCCTAGCATTTGGTTGGGAAGCCCTAATTTAAATTTAAAGTTCAAAAGCTAGCTTATAAGCATTTGTTATTTTGTATATCACCTCCCCTTACTTTCCCTCCATTCTTTATCCTGTATTTTACTTAGAGAGGTTTATTTTTACTTTATACATAGGAGGTGCTGTATAACACAGGCTGTCCTTAAATTATTGATCCTGTTGCCTCAGTCCTACCCTTGTCCACAGTAGTGCTGGCATTAAAGAGATGCACCATAGTGCCCAGTTTCCATCATCATTATTCTATTTTTGTTTTTATATGCTAGCATACAAACTAATGGATTTCTTTTTTTCTTTTTTTTTGATATTTTCACACACATACATCTGTACAGTTTCTTTGTTCTTCCCTTTCTCATCCCTCATCTTAAAACACTGAATATTTTTATTCTTTCACAATTTCATACATATATGATGCTCCTTGATCATATTCCCCTCAATACCCTCTTTCATCTCCCTCTGCCTCCTGTTAAACTTCTGCTTTTCCCAACAAGTCTCCTTCCTACCTTTTTTGTATGTAAGTGTAGGGTTGCCTGCTCGAGCAGGGGTGGATGAGAGGTTATTTTGGGGGGCAAGGGTAACTTACCAGTGGCTACACCACTGAGGAATGTCTTTCCTTCCCCAGTAACTGTTAACTGCCCACTAGGTCCTTCTTCAGGGTGGTGTCATGGCCCCTCCCCCGTCTGTGATGGAATGTTGATGGTCCAGTCCTTGGCAGGGCTTGTGCACCTCCACTTTCCCTTGATCCTTTTTTTCCTCCTCGAAATAGTCCTTCCTTCTTTCCTGTTCCATGAAAGGGTATGTGTGGTGATGTGCTCTTCGGGCCGAGAATTTTTAAAAACAAATTATGCACTCCAGGTTATTCCCTATAGTTTATCTGTTTCACTCTTTTGATTAAATACTCATTGTTCTCCTACAAAATGAACACTTAAAAAATGATGCAAACAGACACTTTTTTGTTTTTTAGATGAAGCCACCAGATCCTCTAGTTACTGTCAAGAATCATCTTGGAGGTTACCACAGAGTGAGTAGTCCACAAGTTTAAAAGTCTCTGTAGGAAGACAAACCCTGTGCTTTCTGTGGTTTGTCATGTGTCTTTGCCCACATTCTAACATCAGTTGCTTTTAGTTTGTTCACTGATAGTGTGAGTCTTACAACTTTGATATTTTTCATATTTGTTGTTGAGATGATAGGATATAAAATATTGGAAGTGTTTTAAGGTTCAGGTAACAGTGGTCATTAGTGATATTTGGCTTTGATTCTTTTAGGGGTGCTGAGGGTAAAACCAGGTTTGTTTGTTTTTTTGTTTTTTTGTTTTTTTTCAGTACTTTTTAGGCAAGCATTGTATCACTTTGCTATACTCCAGCTCAACAATTTTCTTAGTTGTTACTATTTTCTATTGCAGATACTCTGTAATGAATATGTTTCTTAGGTTAAGCAAAATAATAGTATTTTTCTTTGTCTATTTTTAAATCAAATCCCAGTATTTAACCTATTAATCAACTCATAATTTACTTGTGTGTAAATAGTCAAGAACTTCTTTTCCCTTCTACATTTCCTTATTGAAAACATGCATTGAATCTAAGTTGCCATTTTTTAACATATCAATAAAATGAAAATCTATACACTTAAGCTGTATTATTACATATGGCCTTAAGCACATTTTTCTTAAAAAAATAAAAAATGCTTCTTAGTATTTGATGAAAGAGACAGTATGTGTATGTGTGTGTGTGTGTGTGTGTATACACATGTCCTTTATTTTCACAAATGCACACAGCTGCTTTTTCTTTTACTTTTTTAAATTTAAATTAGAAATAACCTTCTTTTACATATCAATTCCAGTTCCCTCTCCCTCCCTTCCTCCTCTGACCCCCACTGATTCCTGATCCCATGCACTTTCTGCTTCCCAGGGAGGATGAGGGCTTCCATGGGGGATCTTCAAAGTCTGTCATATCATTTGGAGCAGGGCCTAGGCCCTCCCCCTTGTGTCTGGACTGAGAGAGTATCCCTCTACGTGATTGGGCTCCCAAAGTCCATTCGTGTACTAGGGATAAATACTGATCTACTACCAGTGGCCTTGTAAATTGTCCAGACCTCCAAACTGATGTCCTCATTCAGGGGGTTTGGATCAGTCCTATGGTGGTTTCCCAGCTATCAGTCTGGGTCCCCTTGTTCAGGTCAGCTGCTTCGGTGGGTTTCTCCAGCCTGGTCTTGACCCCCGTTGCTCATCCCTCCTCCCTCTCTGCAACTGGATTCCAGTTCATCTCAGTGTTTAGCTATGGGTGTCTGCTTCTGCTTCCATCAGCTATTGGATGAAGGCTCTAGGATGGCATATAAGGTAGTCACCAATCGGAGAAGGGCTTTTAAGGTAGCCTCTCAACTATTGCTTAGATTGTTAGTTGGGGGTCAATCCCCCCACCCCCCCCACCCCCATGCTCCCATTTAGCTCAGGAGATCTTGACCCTTTCCCCTTTTCAGGGGGACCATGTATGTCTCTCTTAGGGTCCTCTTTGTTTCCTAGCTTCTCTGGCGGACACACACCTACTTTTACTTTTTGTTTTGAGACAGGGTCTCATTGAGTTACCTAAGCAAGCCTTAAACCTGCAATCTTCTTGTCTCAGTTTCCTAAGTAGTTGGGATTGCAGATCTGTCTCACCAGTTCCAGAGGGTTAAACATCCGTGATGGCAGAGTGAAGATGTGGCAGCAGGAGTAGCTCAGAGCTCACATCTCATACTTCAAGCAGGAGGCCGTTAGAGCACACACAAAATGTCAGAGTTTTTTGAAACTTCAAAACATGCCCCAGTGGCACACCGTCTCCAACAAAGCCATACCTCCTAAGCCTCCTTAGCTAGGGCTACCAACTGGGGACTAAATGTTAAATGTCACCCGAGGCATATGGGGAACATAGCACTCAGACCACCACAGCCTGCTCAGTTGGCTGATTTGCTTTTTTTCCCCTTTCTGTGCTGTGAATGAAAGCCTCACACACACACACTGATGTGTTGTCATTATCTAGTTCTAAGTACTTTTAAGTTTAGAAAAAGGGGAAAATACTGGGCAGTGGTGGTGCACACCTTTAATTCCAGCACTGGGAGGCAGAGGCAGTCGGATATCTGTGAGTTTGAGGCCAGCCTGGTGTACAGAGCTAGTGCCAGGACAGGCTCCAAAGCTCTGAAGCTACAGAAAAACCCTGTCTTGAAAAACCAAAAAAAGGAAGGAAGGAAGGAAGGAAGGAAGGAAGGAAGGAAGGAAGGAAGGAAGGAAGGAAGGAAGGAAGGAAGGAGAGCTGGGAAAGGTGACTCGGTGGTTAAATGTGCTTGCTGCTCTTGCAGAGGACTAGACTTCAGTCCCCAGCACCACAATGCACAGCTCACAACCATCTGTAACTCCATCTTCAGAAGATCTAACATCGTCTTCTGGGTTCTTCAGGCACCAGCACACTTGTACATATACATGCATGCACAAAAAAAGTTTTTTTAAAGGGAAAAGCATTTTTATTGTATATTTACTGGTGTAAGGGTAGGATTTGGTTTCTTTATAGCATTCCTGGTAGATAAGTGAAATGTCTATATAACATCTTTTTAGTTTTGTTTCCCAATGTTGTCTGACCTTACTTCTATTTTCTGTTTTAGGTCAGGACTTCACAGCTCATGAGAATCAGCCTTCAGTGCTGAGTAAGTGGTCGATAATATAGTATCTATTTCAGTCAGCCCTGTTCCTACCTTATTCAACCAATAAAAAGTTCTTACACAGCCAGGTGTGGTGACACACACCTTTAATTCCAGCAGAGGAAGGTGGATCTCTGAGTTCAAGGTTAGTCTGATCAGCAGAGCAAGTTCTGAGACAACCAGGGCTACACAAAGAAACCCTGTCTCAAGAAACCAAATAAGTAAATAAAGTTCTAATATGATTTTTAAATCATTTCTCCTCAGCTTTAAATCATCACACAATAGTACTCTGTAGTAATTACTCTGTGATGTGACACTGTTCAGGACTGTTTTAGCCTCAGTGGTTTACTTATGGGGTAAATGTCCAATGCCAAGAAGAAAGCATTTAAAGCATTTTTTAAGATTTTATTTATTTATTATGTATACAACATTCTGCTTCCATGTATATCTGCACACCAGAAGAGGGCACCAGATCTCATAACGGATGGTTGTGAGCCACCATGTGGTTGCTGGGAATTGAACTCAGGACCGCTGGAAGAACAGCCAGTGCTCTTAACCTCTGAGCCATCTCTCCAGCCCTCAACTTTTCTTCTTAAATGTAATTAGAATTCAATAGAGTAGTTTTGAACTCAGTTGTAGAGACAAGAGTAAAGACATACAACATAGTTTGGTGTGGTGAGTGATTATTTTTTTTGTTGGTTATGGGAAGGCTTTTGTCTTCACTGATCTGACCTATGAATTACCTTTTGCTTTGGATGTTTTCCTCCCTATCCTCTCCTTCTGTTAGATTTATTATATAATATTGAAATATGGTGTAAACTTAGAAAGTCTATGAAATGACATTTTTAATATATGTCTTTGCTTCAGACTCAAGATGTCAAAAAAACGCTCAGGAGTGGGTTGAACAAGTCATAAGAATGAGGACTCGACTGCTACGTGAGTAGACACCTCTCTTTTCTGCTGTGCTTTTGTTGAGTATCTAACATACCAAATACTGACTTCTTCAGATAAGTGATAAAGGTCAGCTATGCTATGGCTCCTAGATTGCCATCTGCAGTGCCAGTGCAGTGTAGGAAACGGCTTGAGAAGACCAATGGGTGATATTCTCAGGCCTCAGAAGCTACAGCTCTAGCAGCAGCAGCAGTTTGTACATGATAATGAAGTTGTACTCTTCTAATGAGAAGTATCTTAGTGGATCGGAGCCAAGGAGTGCTGAAACCGAGATCACACCATGAAACAGATCTCACGTGTGTGTGTGTGTGCGCGCGTGTGTGTGCGCGCGCGCGTGTGTGTGTGCGCGCGCGTGTGTGTGTGTGCGCGCGTGTGTGTGTGTGTGCGCGCGCGCGCGCGCGTGTGTGTGTGTGTGCGTGTGTGTGTGTGCGCGCGTGTGTGTGTGTGTGTGTGTGTGTGTGTGTGTGTGTGTGTGTGCGCGCGTGTGTGTGCATGTGTGTGTGCGCGCGTGTGTGTGCGTGTGTGTGCGTGTGTGCGTGTGTGTGCGTGTGTGTGCGCGCGCGCGCGCGTGTGTGTGTGTGTGTGTGTGTGTGTGCGTGTGTGTGTGTGCGCGCGTGTGTGTGTGCGTGTGTGCATGTGTGTGTGTGTGTGTGTGTGTGTGTGTGTGTGTGTGTTTTAGTAGACTCCATGGAAATAAACACACTATTGCAACCTTCTTTGCCCTTTATTTCATGTCATAAAGGCTGAAATTCACATATAGTATTTTCATGATCATGTTTAGGGTAGGATAAATGTCACTCATGTAAGAAATACCTGTAAATTGATGTGAAGAAATGGCCATACTTTGAACAGATGTAGCTTAGTGATAGACTACTTGGCTAGTGTGCATAAAGCACTGGGTTCAATCACTAGTGCAAGCAACAACAACAAAAGTAAATCAAGCCAGGTGTAACAAACTTTGTAGTCCCAGCATTTGGGAGGCTGGAGCAGAAAGGCAGAGAAGTCATGGTCAGTCTGGGCTTTAGAGCAAAACTCTGTGGCCACAAACAAAGCAAAAATCTTTAGTGATTATGTCTATATTGGCTGTATAAAAATGTCGGTTCTGTTTTCTGCCTTGAATGATGCTTAGCTCCTGTTCCTTTCCACACCACACCATTTGTTTTTGGTGGTTTTAGACAGCATTTCACTATATGGCCCACATTTCCTGGAACTCCGCCATCCAGCCTTAGCTACTCAAGTGTTAAGATTATAGGCATGTGACACTACACCAGAATTCTGTCCCCTTTTTTCCCACCCAACCACAGTTCCTCTTGTCCCCATTTATTTAGATTATATAAAAATTCTTATTTGTCTTTTGCTCATAAAATGACTGACAATAATTGGCCAAAGTAATCTCTAATGATTCCAATTCACTTTAGCTTACCAGTAAGCTGTATTCCACACTTACATGGAATTAAGCCGCCTAAAATGGAAATGCCCTTTTCTCTTTCCTTATTGTTGGCTGTTATTTCTTAATATTGTATATGTCTGATATTAGATGACGTTTCCTATTGCAATTTGTTCTTCGTTGCCTGCTATACTTAGGAAACCAAATACTAATTATTCAGCTTATTAGAATTAGGTGTGACTACAACAAAAAATTAAAATGGAATCTTTTTTTTCTTTCGAATTTGAGAGATAGCGTCTCTGTGCCACTCACCCTGGCTGTCCTGGAACTCATTCTGTAGGCCAGGCTGACCTCAAACTCAGAGAGATCCACCTGCCTCTGTCCCCTAGGATTAATGGTGTACACACGATTGAAAATTTAAATTTTGAGAAATGACTCTTGAAAGTAAAAATGCAATAATTGCAGTCTGTGTTCCACAATAAAATTCAGAATTTCTTAGATTGTTTCTTAATTCTTAATATTGTATTCAAGGAAATAAATAGCAAAGAAAAGACATCTACACATTGGTACCAGAAAACATTTTAAAACTTTTTTTTTGGATTAAAATTTGTTTTAAATATGTTATTTGTATGTATGTGTGTAGTTGCATATCCATATGAGCCAGGAGAAGATTGGGTTCTCTTGGAACTGGAGTTATTGGCAGTGGGTCCTAGGAACCAAATTCAGGTTCTTTGCAAAAGTACCAAGTGCTTAATAGCTAAATCATCACTCCAGCTCTAGAATTATTTTTAAAATTGTGTGTGTGCTATATTTTCACACATGAGTACATACCTCCAGAGTTAAAAGAGGACAGAGCCCTTGGAGCTAGAGTTACAGGTGATTATGAGCCAGCCACTTGATGTGGGATTTGAACTCTGGTCCTGTGGAAGAGCAGGGCATGCTATCGTAACTTCAGTGTCACCTCTCCAACCCTTTTAAGGTTTTATTTTCTCTATGACATAGCTCATTGCAAAAGGAAAAATAATCATATTGAACATCTGTTTGAAATGCAGATGTAGTGCTGCTGCTGTTTTTGTTTTTTGTGTATAGCCCTGGGTGGCCTGAATTTGGATGTATAGAGCATGTTGGCCTGCAACTCACAGAGATCACATGCTTTTGCCTCCCAAGTATTGGGGTAAAAAGTCACCATGGCTGGCTTAGCATTTTTTTTGTCATGAAATTTGCAGCTAACTTTTAGCGTTTTATGTTTACATGCCTACTTCTTCTTACATTAGTATATTTATTATGACTTAAGTACTTGTAACTGCCATATCTGGGTATTGTGTTTTGTAGAAAGATGGCATGCAAGATACATGCGTGCATGCAGCTGGGCCTCGTGGTCCACGCCTATAATCAGGCTCCTGAAGTGGGAGGTTTGAAGATGGGCTGGCCTACATACCTAGACCGATTAGAGAAGGCAGATTATTAGTCCTTTAACAATGAAAAGGAAGAAAATATTCCTAACAGTGAAATAAGTCTATAGTGGTTTTGTAACAGCCTTTACTCTTCAGGCCAAGATAATTATTTAAACTTTTCCTGGGTGTTTTTTGGCTGCTACTTTTTGGGTTTTGGACAGGGTCTCACGAAGCCAGCACTAGCCTTCTCCTTTTCCTCTTGCCACCTCTTGAGTGCTGGGATCCTAGGTGTGCACCATCCTGCTTGGATGACTCTTTCCTATCTCTCTCAGCATCCTAAATGTCATATCCTTCTATTGGTTATGCATTTCTGTCTGCTGTGGTCAGGGTGTTTTTAAACACGTGTGTCAGAACCTGGAACTTTGATTTCCTTTGTCATCTCATGTTCGCACCAGTTCCCTGGCTGTAATAGGTCCCAGTTGAGGTTCAGTCTGCATCACTGTCTATACATCTTTCTGCTTACCTTGTGATAAAGTAGTTTAAGGTTGTCTGGAGAGATCAGATCTTTGAAACATGTTTTGGGGCCTCTCAAAAAATGCAGACACAGAGCTTAGCATTAGAGCTCTTTGTTCGAATTCCCACTTCCTGCACTTTTTTACCTTTAGAGGCAGTTGCTGTGATTAGTCTTCTACATTAAACAAGAGTTTTAAGTCTGATCACATAACTGTTAATGTTTATTTGTGTTATATACAAATCAATAACTGTGGTGGGTTTGTGCCCTCTATTCTTTATGGAGTGAGTGATTGCTGCTGTAATCTTCAGGCTGGAGAATGTCTATAGATCTTCAAGGTTTTACTGCTGCTAGTGATTTACTCGGCTCTAGTGATTACTGCCTCTAGTAAGAGAGTAGAACTGAACTTGTAGGCTGTGTCCTAACTCAGCAGTTTATACATAACAGGCCTAAAAGTATGGTTGTGATCTGTGGACTACATACACAGTGTATATGATATATATTTAATACTTATTGGTGTATCAATCATAAAGTAGACCATCACACCACTGCCATGTATCCCATTTGATCTTTGCAACCATGTAATGAGGTATTTAAGATGAACATAATGTATTTGGGACTTTTTTATTGCTTGGTTTTTAGTAATGCAATTGTAACTTCATGGCATAATGTAGAAATGTCTAATCAAGTTTCTTCAGCAGAATTAATAATTGGAAAACAGTATGACTCTTGCAGTTACTTGATTGTTGAGTGTTTCAGTTTTGTTTCTGGTTTTTGGTCATATGACTCAAGGCAATTTCTGTATCTTAGCAGTGCTAACTTTATTCCTTGGTCTAATCCAGTGTTTCTCAAGTCGAAGCTGTTAATAAACACAAGGAAGACCATTCAAAAGTTGTCCACGTAAAAGTTCTTGCAGGCAAATGGTGGATGGGTGAAATGGCAAATGGAGGCAATACCAGTGAGGTTGCTGGGCCTCTCTGCCTCCTGAAATAGGTTTCTTAAACGGTCAGAATCCCAGAGGAGAGATACTCAGTCATTCTGAGAGAAAATAATAAAGATTTAAGATATGAGTTTTATATGGAAATACCTTATTCAAGACACTTTAGGTAATCCATAATCTACATTTTCTTCCTCTTTACAGCATCTTCACCAGGCAGCAGTTAGTAAATGCTCATTTTTCCAGATGATTTTGTGTTGTTGTTATGGTGTCCTTTTTCTTTTCTTTTTACCTTTGCCCCAGAGGTTACCATTCCTATTAAATAAACTGCAAGGCTTTCTCTCAACACAGAGTTTTGAATGTTCACTCTGTACTAGGTCAGTGTTGCTGGGATTAACTTGTAACTTCGAAAGGGCCTTCAGTGCAACAGGTTTTTGGATATTCTGCCTCACCTACTACGGATACTGCCTTTTGGTAGAATCATTTTCTTTAATGGAAATAAGTGAGCAAATAAAACATAAAATTCATGGTCTTTTGAAATTATTTTTTATTTTAGAAAACAACATTCAGGAATCAGAATTTGGAAACCAATCTCCATCAACCTCTGGCCAACGTAAGTTTATCTATTTGTTAAGTGAGTCCAAACTTGGTGGCCCATATTTGTTTTAAAACATTTTTTGACAGCCGTGTGACCTAATGATATTTAAGGCATCATATAAGCACTTCTGTGGAAAAAAATACATGTTTTATCAGCAGTGAAATTCTATGTAGGCAGACTATATGAAATGTGTAGTTTCCTCTTGATTTTATTGTTCATATACCAAAAATCAAAGTTGATAAGTTGGGCTGGAGAGATTGTTTAGTGGGTAAAAAGCATATTGTACAAGCCTCATCACCTGATTTCAGTCTCCAGAACCCACGACAAGGTAGAGGAGAGAAGTTACTCCACACCTCCATGCACAGGCTACACCCACTCATCATGGCCTGTGCACACATATGATACTAATAACTACAAACTATTTGTTACTAAGTAAGCAACTATTACCATTAGCCGACCGAACTATACTGGATTAGTGGGATTAGCAGAACGGCAGCTAGTTTTGTGATGGAGGCAAGTGCTACAGTTTTCAGAGTCCACAGACCAGTATTTGAACTAAATCGGAACAGTTACTTTGTATATGGCTTTGAGGAAGATTTTTATTCCTGAAACCTCTTACCCTGAATTGTGAGTGCTAAGAAATTACTAGTGATTCTTAATCTGTATCTTTATTCCTTGGTCTAATCCAGTGTTTCTCAAGTCGAAGCTGTTAATAAACACAAGGAAGACCATTCAAAAGTTGTCCATGCAAAAGTTACTGCAGGCAAGTGGTAGATGGGTAAAATGGCAAATGGACGCCATTTTTAAATCTCTCTGCATTGATAAAGTACTCCCAAAAGGTTTTAATTAATTGGAAAATGACAGAATTTTTTTATGGATGATTTTCCTTATCCACTCATGAGTTGATGGACATTTAAGTTGTCTCCATTGCTTGGCTGTTACGAGTCATTGCTCTAGTGAACCTGGGATACAGATGTCTCTTCCACATATTGAATACATGTCTTTAGAATCATACCCAGCAATGATGTTGCTGGATCACATAGTTTATTTTTAACTTCCTGAGGTGCTTTAAGAAGAAAAAAAAAACAGTGGGTTAAACCTATTCATATTTACCTAGAAATTAATCTCTAGTTTAATATACTTTAGTTGGATTCTCACATCTGCTTCTATATTTAGATAGCCAAGAATATTGTTCAGTTATGAAGAATTTTAAAAGCTTTTTCATGGAATTGTGGACTTTCCTTGCAACTTCAACATTGGACAGCTGACAGTAAATACTAGTGAGGATGTGGAAAAGAAGACACCTTATTCACTGCTGGTGGCAGTACAAACTAGTGCAGCCATAATGGAGATCAGTATGGAGGTGTCCCACAAATGAAAGAGCTGCCACATGACCCAGTTACACCACCTGGGGACATAGCCAAGGAACTCTGTGACCCAGCACAGAGACACTTGCACATCCATCCATGTTCATTGCTCTTCCATTCGTGACAGCAAGGAAGTAGAACTAGCTAGTATGGATAATGAAAATATGGTGTATATATACACAACGGAATTTTATTCAGGTGTAAAGAAAGGTGAAATTAGGGAATTTTCAAGGAAATGGATGCATCTGGAAAGTATAACATTAAGGAAGGTGGTCCAAACTCAGAAACCACATGTTCTCTTACATGCAGATTCCAGCCTGTAGTGTATAAGTGTGTATGTGTGTAAATTGTAATATACTTGAGTGTATACTGTATGTGCATATAAATAGATGTGAATGTGGATAAAACTCTAGAAAGGGGATGTAAAAATAAGTGCTTAGGAAGGATGAAGGAGGGGGAAGTGAATGGGCAAAATCAGAAAATGTTAATGAATTTTTTGATGTTCTTGCGTTAAAATTCTCAGAATTGTTTTTCTAGTTCCTTTTTTGGTGGTTTTTTTTTTTTTTTTTCCTTGTGTTTTTGAGACAGGCTTTCATATAGCCTATGTTGGCCTTGAACTCACTTTGTAGCCGAAGGTGGCCTTGAACTCTTGATGCCACTGTCCCCACCTTCCAAGTGCTAAGGTAACAGGCATGTGCTACCACATCTTGCTTAATTTCTTAGAACCTGAATGAAATTTTATACACTAGTCATTAGAAAATACTGATTCACTGAGCTATGCAGACTTTTACTAGGCATGGTGGGAAACTGAAGCAGGAGAATCGTGCCTAGACTACAGAGTGAAGTCTCATTTTTAAAGCAGTATATATGGCCAGGTACCTCATGCCTGTAATCCCAGCACTAGGGATGGTACTGCCATAGCAAAGCATCGATGGGAGGGTTGACATGAGTTCAATGCCCTAATTCACCCCCAAAATAATAATAAATAAACATAAATGTAAAAATAATTTTAAAAAATAGCTAAGTGGAATGGTGGTGGCGCACGCCTTTAATCCCAGCACTCGGGAGGCAGAGGCAGGTGGATCTCTGTGAGTTCTACGTCAGCCTGGCCTCCAGAGTGAGTTCCAGAAAGCCAGGACTGTTACATAGAGAAACCCTGTCACAAACAAAAAACAAAAACAAAAAACAAACTATTGGGCCAGTGAGGGGGTAAAGGCTCTTGTAGACAAGTCTGAGTTTAGCTCCCCAGACCGACAAGATAGACATGAGAGAGGAAAGACCGACTGCTACAAGTTGTCCTCTGACCTTTGCTTCTAAGCATGTACACACACACACACACACACACACACATACACACACACACACACACACACACACACTCATTTTTTTAAAGTTGAGTATTGGTAGCTATTGATTTATAATGGAAGGAGCAATATTTCCAAAATTGTAATTTTCATTTGAAATTTTGAATGTTACACTGGCAGCAAATATTGCCAGTTGCTTTCCTGAAAGTAACAGGCATACTTTGCTCCATTCTTCAAATAGCTGCTAAATACAAGAGTGTGACTATTCATAGAGTGTTAATTTTTTTCCAAGTAAAAATGGCGTTCACTTTTTAAAAAGTGGTTATTAACTTGCAGGTCAGTTGCAAAGACTTTTTCCTTTGGCAACCATTGTGCTTGCTGGACAGCTGACATTTGTGTGTCTTTACACAGAATAATGAGAATATGTACTCAGGGTTAAAGGTCTTGAGTTTTGTTTTTATGGTTCTGGGGATCATGTGAGGGCCTCACACATGCTAGACTTGTACACCAAGGGACAGGCACCTTTACGTACTGACCCTAATTTTTTATTGTTGTTGCTTTTGTTTTTATGTTTTTGAAACAGGGTCTCTGCATAGCCCTGGCTGGCCTGAAACTCACCATGTAGGCAATGCTGGCCTTGAACTCAGAGAAATCCATCTGCCTCCTGAGTGCTGGGATTAAAGGCATACAGCACAGTGCCTGTTATCCCAATTGTTTTTAGCCTTGTATGTTGTCAGTGAAAACTGTGACTGTGCTAGTATTGCTTAGTGCTAGTCCCCAGTAATTCCTGCCTAAAGCATCAGAAGCTTTTCCCATCTTAGCTGTTTCACCATCAGGGCAAGTGTCACCACTGTAGAAAAAACAAAACTATCTTACTGTTAATTTTGGGTATGACACCTACCAAATATTGCTTAAGGTAGCTTCAGGCTACACTCTGAGATTGCTGCTCTAAAAGATTCCTAGTACATCTATTAGGTTAAAGTAATCCATAAATAAAAGATTGAGAAGTAGTATTACAAGTATATTATTTATTGGTAAATGGAGTGATTTATGAAAAATGTTATATAAATTGAAAAGCATTATATAAACAAAATCATACCATATTCATATCCAGTAATAATGACAAGTTCAGTGCCAGAGTTTTATACTGTCAACTTGAATTCCACAAAGATACAGGTATCAGTACAGTTCATTTGCATGGACAAGTAGCTGTTGTATCATATAGAATGCATTCATTTGTATCGAATCCTTTTCTTTATATACTTCAGAAATATTCTACCCTAGACAGCCAGCCATGCTAACTACTGAGTTTCTAATTAAACAGTTCTATAAAGCACCCACTATTTACTTCCCAACTATTAGAAAATGTTCATGAGTCTTGCTTTATAAACAGTTTTACTTCTGAAATTATGAGGTTTTATTCTGAATTGCAAAATTTTTATTTAAATATATTTAATTATTTTTCTTTAGAAACTTATTTTTCTAACATTTATAATATAAATATTTATATTTATCTATTACTTAGACTTTTATGAGCTTTCCTGAAGAGTATATATTTATTTCTTAAGAAAAAAAAAAAGATACCAACTTCCTTCTTTAAAGTACTCCCTCTTAAGCTGGGTAGTTGTGTGCCTTTAGTCCCAGCACTTGGGAGGCAGAGGCAGGCAGATCGCTGTGAGTTCGACACCAGCCTGGTCTACAGAGTGAGTTCTAGGACAGGCTCCAAAGCTACTCAGAGAAACCCTGTCTTAAAATAATAATAATAAAGTATTCCCTCTTCATCAGACATGGTGGCACATACCTTTTATCCCAGTACTCAAGAGGCAGAGGCAGGGAGTTTCAGGCTAGCCTGATCTTCATACCGAGTTCTAGACTGAGTCATGCATGGGGCTAGAGATACAGCTGAGTAGTTAAGAGCATGTACTGCTCATGCAGAGGACCCAAGTTTAATTCCCAGCACCTATCGGGCATTCAGTCAACTGTAACTCTAACTCCAGGAGGACCTATTACATTTGACCTCTGCAAAGTGAGCACCTGTACCCACATGCACATACACAGAATGAAAAGAAATCGCTAACCCTGAATCTAAGGAAATGTACTATGTCTTTTCTCTCCCCCAAGCAGAACCTGCTGAACAACCGGACAATGAACCTTCTGTCAACAGAAAGCGGTGGCTGCTCGGTCTAGTTGTTTCCCTTGCCATTGGATTACTTTGGTTCTTTTATACTCCTGCAGTGCAAACCACTGCTGTTCAAGAATTCCAGAACCAGATGAAACAACTTCAGTCTAAGTACCAGAGTCAAGACGAGAAACTGTGGAAAAGAGGCACAACATTCCTAGAAAGACACCTGAATAGCTCTGTCCCTCGGCCCCAGCCTGCCATCCTTTTGCTCACTGCAGCCCAAGATGCTAAAGAAGTGCTCAAGTGTCTGAGTGAACAAATTGCTGATGCCTATTCTTCCTTCCGGAGTGTCCGTGCAATCCGGATTGACGGGGCAGGGAAAGCTGCTCAAGACAGTGACCTCGTCAAGCAAGAAGTAGATCAAGAACTGAGCAATGGGTTTAGAAATGGCCAGAATGCAGCTGTGGTACACCGCTTTGAGTCTCTGCCCGCAGGCTCAACCTTGATCTTCTATAAATATTGTGACCATGAAAACGCAGCCTTCAAAGATGTAGCCCTAGTCCTGACTGTACTGTTGGAGGAGAAGACACTGAAAGCCAGTCTAGGCCTGAAGGAAATTGAAGAGAAAGTGAGAGATTTCCTCAAAGTCAAGTTCACCAACTCTAACAAAGCCAGCTCCTACAACCACATGGATCCAGACAAGCTGAATGGACTCTGGAGCCGCATTTCTCACGTAGTATTGCCCGTGCAGCCGGAAAATGCCCTGAAAGGGGGCAGCTGCTTATGAGGGGGAAAGTGGAAATCACGTCTCGAATTCTGAACAGTTTTCAGACTTTAACCAGAGACGGAATACGGAGCAGTTTTTGAAAACTGGTTTCTTTTTAAAGGAAGTTAAGTTCATACATAAACGTGGAATACCTAAATCATTTATGCAGCCTGATTATCTGTGATTTGAGAGAACCGTTTCTCTGTTTCCACTGAGAACTATGTTAGGAGTGTTTAGCATGGTCTAAAGTATATATGCAATTCCCTGAGGATCTGCTTTGATTCTAGCTGAATCATTCTTGCTGTGCTGTGACCAGTGAGAAGGACTAGGTGCCTTTCTCAAAGAATCAGCTTTATTTTTAACTTTGGATATTTTTGTTGGTTTGCTTGTGACCTTATTAGTCTGACAGCTCTCTAATTGTAGCTGTGGTTTCCCCATTACTTTTCCTTTTATACCATTTAAGTATGTGATCCTTAGCTTCCACTTGTAAAAGACAAAAGATCATCTGGGAGGGCAGTTTAGCCTCCCCTTCCCCCCTGGCTTTTGAGAGGGGAGAACAGGGTTCGGGAGGTGGAAAGGGAAGAGAAATTGTTGAAGGAAGAGGAAGGGAAAAAATAGCTGCAAGCTGGGCATGGTGAGAGATGACTCAGCACTTTCTCAGGGTAGAGTCAGGAGGATCAGAAGTTCAAGGCCAGCCTCATCTATATAGTGAGTTTTCTGCCACCCTGGGCTAAATGAGACACTGTTTTAAAAAAAGAGAGAGAAGAGAGAAGAAAATACAAAAAAAAGTGTTTTCAATATGAAATGTTACTTTTTAAAAAAAAGCATGAAAGTGGCAAAAAACCTCTGAGAGGTTAATTCTCAAACATGTCTGTGCTGTTACCTTGGTGAACTGTTAACAATTTGCTTTTTATACTTATGTCTTTTTCCCCACTTAAAGAAGTCCTTGGTGTGAGGCTGAGGTTGGTAGTAGAGCATTTGCCCAGCTTGTTTGTTTCCCGACGTTCAATAACCAGCATTCCAGACACCTGTAACCTCAGCACTCAACAAATTGAGGTGGCAGCATCTTGAATACAAAGCCAGCCTGGAGTGTATATATCACATCAGACCCAATCTCAATACCACTCCCTTGGAAAAGGGAATTCCATAGCCTTCCCAAGGTTTTAAAGCATGAATGTGATAGTTTATTTCCTTATTTGATGCTTACCAATTTTAAAGGTAGGTAAATCTAAAGCAGTCTCTTTGGTTATAACATGGCAGTTTTTGTCTTAAAGAAATAACAGTTTCTAGTGTATCCTCAACTTCATGGTTCAGAATGGGTTTTTTGTTTGTTTTGGTTTTTTGGTTTTTTTTCTTTTTGATTTTTTCCTTTTTGCCAGCACCAGGGATTGAACTAAGACCCACCCATGCTGGTCAAGTGCTTTGCCACTGAACTACATTCCCCAGCAGTAGAAATACATTTCTAAGTCAGGTGGCTCATGTCTGTAATTCCAGCACTTGGGAAGCTGAAGCAGGAGTTTGCTGTGAGTTCATGGTCATCACTAGCTACATGGTGAGCTTCAAGCTGGCCTGCATGGGCTGCAGAATGAAAGACACACACACACACACACACACATACACACACAAAGATAGCTTCAAAAACTGGTAGACAGTTCTCTGCTGGGCTATTGAAGAAGACTCCATTTTGTGCTTGTGCGTGTGTACTTTAAGTCCTTGAGTAGCACTCCATAACAAATACAAAAATAACCTATGAGCATGATCAGTTTTATTGAGTGCCTCAAGCCAAAAAGAGTGACCCTTACCACACACAACGAATGTTGGACTTATGTCTCTACTGCTATAGTATTTTAGGGTTTTCTACACTTATACAGCTCAGCTTCCTCATCTGTCAGCTGCTTTTTTGTCTTCAGCTCTTATAATTCTAGATCTGAGTTCTTTTGTCCATGGACATCTAAATGAAAATTATACTTCAGAGTATTAGCCAACCTTTCTTTAGCCCCTGGGTGGTAAAATAGGTGGGGAGAAGTGGTCTGACCTCTTTCCTGGGATATTACCAACGTTTGTACCTTTATAATAACCTGTTCCTGTCAGAAGTCAGACGATCAGGTTTATTTTATAAAGAATTATAAAAAGTTTTCTTCAAAAGTATTTTTTACATATCATATGAAAAAGGAAGTGTTTTATTAAATGTTCCACTGACTTAAATAATTTTGAAGTGATAATGTTGCTTATATCTTTCAGAAAAAAAACAATTGTAGTAGCTAATGTGTAAATAACTTAAAAGGCTATTTTAGTAATTTAAATAAATTTACTTTTTGGGTTTGTATTCTGTATGTTATAAGCGTAATCATTTACAAGTCTTTTTAAAAATTAATCTAAATCTTTTCTTTGTAAATTTTAATGACCTTGGCTAGGAGAAGCCCAGGCCAAACAAGTACATTGCTTGGAAACATAGTGAGTCTGTGTAACAGGGTTCTTATGTGTTTAATTGCCTCCCTAAAGAGCCTTTTGAGATTTCCTAGTCACCCCCCATTTTTATACCACATGTTCACTGTGTATGTTTACAGACTGTATGGTATGTTGCTTTATATAAAATAGATATTTTGACATACACATATACCCATAAACCAGTTTTCACAGTTACTGAGGATATAACTCAAGAATATCTCCATTTTCTTTTTTTTTAATTTTATTAATTTTATGTGAGTGTACACATGCCTCAGTACTCAGGTACTGAGTGTACACTGTGGGAGTTGTTTCTTTCTTATTGTGTGGGTTCTGGGGATCTAACTCAGGTTCATGCTTGGTGGCAACTGCCTTTACCACCGAGCCACTAACCCTGACTACACACCTATTAGAGGTGAAGGACATCACGCCTGGCATGCCAGGGCCCTGGGTTCAGTCTTCAATGCCTATTATGTAAACAAGTAAAAGGAAAGTGACTTCCTGGGAGTTTGTGGTCAGCCTAGGCTATATAGCATCACTATCTCCTAAGAAAACCAGGGCTGGGGCGATAGAATACTTGTCTAGCACATGAGGCTCTGGGTTTGCTTCCCCTGCACTGCAAAAGGCAACAGATCTGCATGTTACTTAAATATGGCTTAAGCTCTACTTTCTGTTCATGTTTGTGATCCTTTCAAAAGAGAGAGAAGTCATCATTGGGGTAGAGGGAACTCAGATCTCCAGAAATTGAGCACCGCGCTTTTGATTGACAATAGTAACCCAGAATTTCACAGTATATTATCAGTTTTACATTTTCTAGAAACTAAATTGGCCTCCCTTCTTTCAGTTACTTTCTTTACATTTTCTAATTCTCAAAACAAAACTGAAAGTCAACAGACTTCATTCAATGATAACTAATGGAGGTGAGAGTTTGCATTTTTTTGTTTTGTTTTGTTTTTGTTTTTGTTTTTTGTTTTTCAAGGCAAGGTTTCTCTGTGGCTTTGAAGGCTGTCCTGGAACTAGCTCTTGTAGACCAGGCTGGCCTCGAACTCACAGAAATCCGCCTGCCTCTGCCTCCCGAGTGCTGGGATTAAAGACGTGTGCCACCACCACCCGGCAGGTTTGCATATTTTATGTCATTGATTAATGCCTAAGCTGAAAATGAAAAGCTTACTCCTGTGTGATCGTATTAGTGCTCTTTATGTTGGCTGTGAATACCTGGAGTTCTTGTGAAGGTGATGAAGATGATGAAGCTATTTTGCTGTCCTTACCTTGGTCACAGAGTAACATCTTGTGAATGAGTCTGCTTAGTCTCTTCAGAAAGAAGATTTTACTGGCTGACCACCAAGAATCCTGTGTGGCTCAGGATGCTCTTGTCTGGTTAGGAAAGTATAGTCTCATGTGAGCAAACAGAAAAACTTGCATTGCACGTTCTTTGACTCTTAGACTTCCTTTCTTGACTCCCATGTCTACAGTTGTATTGCTTGGCTAAGGTTTGCTTCTAAGGCCTCAGAGTTGTAAGTCTTAAGTGAAACCTTCCTTTACTCTCCTAATACTGTATAGTACCGTGGGTGTGGGTGTGTTGAAAGAAGGGAGGGGGGGGGGGGGGGGGGAGTTTTATGATTATCTGTACATGTGTAACTTCAAAAGTTAAAAGAGACGTTTATGATCCTGAAAGAACCCAGTGGTGGGAAGTGGAAAGTTCCTGGTTTGAATGTGGAAAAGATCCATCCATAGTGTCACGAAACAACCAGTAAAACCCTCCATGAAAAGCTTCCATAAACCACTGGCTGAAGCTGTGGCCGGAGCCTGATTCTGTCCATGCTCAAACCTGTCGAGGAATGAATGACTCACTCCAAAGCATCTGAGTGGCTGCTAGTCACGTTCTGCCTCTCCTGACTGAATTTATTTCAAGTGAAGCAACTGGCTGGGCTCCTTCCCTTTGTGTTCTCATTTATCCTGCAGTACTCATGTGAGTGTGGACTTCACTGTCATTTGCAGGGATCAGGAATTGTTAATAGGTTAATGGTGGTACACATTTAATAGTTGTAGCAGCTCTAGAGGCCCGAGGGAAGATTGTTTGAGCCCAAGAGTTCAGGACTAGCCTGGGCAATATAGTGAGACCCTGTCTATTAAAAATTAAAAGTTTAGAGACTAGAGTGTTGGTTCAGTGGTTAAAGAGTACTTACTGTTCTTGCAAGGACTTGGGTTCAATTCCCAGTACTCACATGGAGGCTCAACACTTCCTCAGGAACTGTGTGTGGTACACAGACATACATGTAGGCAACACACTCATACACAAAAAAAATCTATTAAAAAATGCTTTCCAAAAAAATTAAAATTTTAATTTGAAAAACAGCAGGCTTTACGATAATCTGCTTTACCTAGACAGAGTGCATCTTTCTGGTTTTGTGGTTTCTTTTTCCTGTTGTTTTTGAGTCCTTTCCAAGAGCTTTATGTAACCATTTGATCCTGGGTTCGGAAGTATTATAAGTAAGGAGAGATGAGGGCCACCAGCACAAGTGGTAGAGGCCCAGAGGGTTTCTCTATGTAGCTCTGTCTGACCTGGAACTCACTACGAAACATAGCCCAGTTCAAAGGCTGGCTTTGAACTCAGAAATTCACCTGAGTGCCAGGATTAAAGGCATGCACTACCACATCCAGCCATTGCCGTCTGAGTGTTTCTAAAACAGCTATCAAATCTTAAATCCGGTTATATTGCCTAAGAGACTATATTATGTAACCTATGGCAGTCCTGTCTAGAAAAAAAAAAGCCACATACACATACACACACACACACACACACACACACACACACACACACACACAAGTAAAATGATCCAGTCATTAACTAGTCCTGCCTGTTAATAGATATTTATGTACAGAGGTGTGCTTCTGCAACTGAAGTTGCTGCAGTGGTATTAGGAGAGAAATTTATTATAGTAAGTGCCTACATCAAAAATTAATAAAATTTTCTGGGTATGGTAACCACACTTGTTCAATCTTAGCATTTGGGAAGTGGAGACAGGAGGGTCAAGGGTTCATAGTCAACCTCAGTGATTTTGAGGCCAGCCTAGTCTACAAAGCTACACAGAGAAACACTATCTCAACAAACAAACAGAACGAACAACCTGCTATTATTTAGATTTGCATTGTCCCCAAAGACCCATGTGTAAGTTAGAGCAACAGTTCCCAACCTGTGGGTCTTGACTCCTTTGGTGTCACATATAATGCATATTAGGTATTTACATGATGATTCATAACAGAAAAATTATAGTTATGAAGTAGTAACGACATAATTTTATGTCATTTTATATGGTCAGAGTCACCACAACATGAGGAACTGTGTTAAAGGACTGTAGCATTAGGAAGGTTGTGAACTACTGTGTTAGAGGCTTAGGCCCCATCTTGACACTGTTGGGTGGCAATGGAAACTTTAAAAGGTAAGGATTAGTGGCTGGGCAAGTCACCAGGTCATTAGTGACGTACCCTGGACAGGACTGTGGAATCCCAGGCCTTCAGTCCTTCTTGGCCATGAGGTGAGTGGTTCCATTCTGTCATGCGTTCCTGACATGGTCTTGCCACAAATCCAAAAGTAACATGACCAAGCAGACATAGATGAGCACCCTGACACCATGTGTTCAAACAACCCTTTCTCCTTATAAGTTGAAGAAAAGAACTGGAGTGTTGCAAAAAGATAAAATTGACAAAACTTTTTTTTTTTTTTTTTGACGAAGGGGAGGGAGTAGATGGAGAGGTGGCTCAGCAGTTTAAAGCCCATGTTTCTCCTACAGAGGACAAGGGTTCAGTTGCCAGCACCCATGTGGTGGCTCATAACAGTCTCTAACTCCAGTTCTAGGAGATCTGATGCTCTCTTCCAACCTCCAAGGGCACCATGTGTGTACATGTCTATGTACATGCAGGCAAAACACCCATACATATAAAATAAATAGATCTAAAAAATTAGAGATATCTAAAATATGTCAGGAAAAAATGATAAAGACTCTTGCCACCAAACCTGGCCACCTGAGTCTGAACACCAGAACCAACATGGTAGATGAGAACTGACTCCTGCAGGCTGTCTGCTGCTCCCTACCCACAAACTGGGGTACATGTGTGCCCATGTTGCACACACACACACAGTGATAAATATTTAAAAGGCATTATAACTGATAACACAGAGATACTAAAAGTCGTTAAGGACTATTGTGAATAATTATATACAAATTTGAAAACCTAGGAAAAAATGTATAAGTTCTGAACACATACAACCTATCACAAAGGAACCAAGAGAACATGGGAGATTTGAACTAAACTGTAATAAAGAACCAAGATTGAGTCAGTAATGAAAGTCTCCCAACAAAGGAAAGCCCAGGGCCAGGCAGCTTCACTGCTGAATTTTCCCAAACTTTAAAAGAACCAATAACAGTTCTTCTTAAACTATTTCAGAAAATTAAAACGAAGGAAACTCTTCAAACACAAACCATGAGGACAACACTACCCTAATACTAGACCCAGGAAAGGACACAATGACAAGATCAAACAGTGCATGCCAGCATCCCTGATAAACACACGCAAGAATTTTCAGAGAAACACTACCAAATCAAATCCAGCGGCATATATAAAGATGATACACCATGATCAACTAGGAATTGTCCCAGAGATGCAGGGGCAGCTCAATATATGGAAATAAAAAACACAGTGTCAGCTGGGCGTTGGTGGCACACTCCTTTAATCCCAGCACTCGAGAGGCAAAGGCAGGTGGATTTCTGTGAGTTCAAGGCCAACCAGGTCTACAAAGAGAGTGCCAGAATAGCCAGAGCTGTTTCAGAGAGAAACCCTGTCTCAAAACAAAACAAAACAAAACAAAACAAAACCAACCCC